CTAGGTACCAATAACTTTTATCAAAGTCAACCTATTTTTTTACGTACAATTAAACTGTGTAATAAAAACTATAGCATTTCATTTAAAATAACGAAGTTATGGTCTACTTCCGGTAGACCGGAAGTGGCGGCCATCTTGAAAATATTTTAGAACGAAAGTTCCGAATGAATAACCCATGCTACCAAAATTTCAAACCTCTACGAATAGTGGAACATGAAAAAGTTCTAACGAACCAGTTACGTCAGACAACCTGTATATAAAAAATATATAAAAAACACCTTTATGATCTACGTTTTTTTTTGTAAGTTATGGGCCTGATGGCAAATAGAATCATTACGATCTTTGGCGCGGATATCTTTACCATTAATAATTCTGTTTATACCCGTTCGTCCAATTAAAAATACAAAAAATTAAAAATTCTTTTAAAATGTTGTTGACAACTTCTTGTGTATGTTCACAAAGTGTGAAATTAAAGTTCACTTGATTTTTTAAATAATTATACAATGCGTAAAAAAACCTTTTTTTGAAACATACACTGGGTAGTAAATGAATAATAATATTGTACGAAGTATATAACCCTCGAATAAAATTTCTTGTGACACCAAATCATGCCACTCTTGAATTTTGTTGCTGGATAAAATGTTCTGTTTGCAAATTTCACATTTGTAAAAAGAGGCATTTTTTTTGGCAAGAAAGCCACTAATATAGCCCACTGCAATTTTGTCAACATATGGCATATATGATACTGTTGGAAACGAAAAATTTTTATTGATCGAAGAGTACATTCTTCTTTTCCTACATCAAATAAAAGGAACTGGCTTACATTATTTAATAATTTTGTTCCATCTTTATTTTCACAATTGGCACCCAGTGAATGACTACTAACGAAATTATTAATTAACAATGTTTTAAAATTTCCAATAAAATTAACTGGGGCCGGATTGACGTTTCTTCCACTATGTTGTCTCATTTGTCCAAAGAAATTTTCTATTGGATTTTGGTTTAATAGTCGTGTTGTTAAACTGGATTTACCATATTTTTTCTTGCAGATATTTGAAAATGCCCTCCAAACTATTTAACGTAACAATCCAGTTCTTGATGGATGGTGGTGTTGATCTGCTGCCTTTCTTATCTACAAATTTCATGGTAGACATCTTTTTAGCATTTTGCCAAAAAGAGAGATGAGGCGATTTACTTGTTGCCGCACAACGCAATGGTATGTTTGTGTTTAGCGCTAACCGACAGCAATTGACACTATCGAATAGATCATTGAAAAATTTAATTGCATATACAGTGTTCATTGCAGACTGGTCCAATTTTCGTCCATCTGCACTAGTTGTACCTGTGAAGTTCAAAATGCAATTATCATTCTGTAAATATTACTAACAATGGTTAAATTGCTACCTGACCGTACAAATACTGCCATTACTGAAGCTACTGTACAACTAAACGTTTGGCTAGCACATGACACTTTCATTACTCGTATTTTGCCAGGAATTACGTGGTCATCGTTCAATTTTGGCATGGCACGAAATTCACTGGACGGATTGTCAATGTAATATGCATCCAATATGTGTTGCCATTTAGCAGTATATTGTTGACCTTCCTTCATGTATGTTAAATTTTTTTCAACTAAACGATTACGTATACCTTTTAGTAAATGTGGTGGATCATAAACATGAAAATACGTTTTGTCGTTTATTTTATAGCAATTATCACCACGCCATTCGGTACCTTGTCTGAGAGCATCTGCTTTAGAATTTGCTATTAGTTGATTAATAGCTGCAACATTTCCAGTACCTTGGTCACAGATGGTGGCTACAACGTCAAGTCCACAGTCACCAGTAAATAGATTGGTTAAAATGTTTTTAATATGCCGGACCAAAGTAAAAGTATGTATTAGTAGCATTTTGGCAAAAGAAGTAACAAATAGTTTTTCCATTTATTATTTATACCCCTCAACATGAATACTAACGCAGTGTTTGCAATTAAATTTGTTGATTCACTACCTTGTTCTTCAAACTCTATTATTTCTTTAGTATTTTTATTAAAAAATAAATGAGAGTGTATTTTCATTTCATCCCATATCAAAGAACAATATTTATCTTCTGGTTGCAGATCATTGCTCACACTCCTTAGTCTTTGAAAAATGGGGTTACATATATACTCTTCCACATCCAGAACGGTTATTTGTGACAGTCATAAATAAAAGCCGGGGTGATTTTTGCCCGCTCGAGTACCTGAAAATGGTTATGACAATCAGACAAGGACAGGGTTGAACTTAATTTTTTTTAAACTAAAATTTAATAAAAAACCAAAGTTTAGTTATAACAACTAAAATGTAATTATAAAAACTAGTATAAAAGTCAATGTATAAATGCTAAAATTTAATTATTCGTCGTCGCTCATCATAATTTTCAAAGCTGCTTTCATCGGAACTCTCATTTCTGATATCTATAATAAATCCTTGAATATTTGGCGATACATAAGAATTTTCTACGTCCTTTACGTGTTTTACGCAGTTCCTCCATAATTCTGCTGGTATGTTGTCAACCTCTTGACGAATTAAATCCACCACTTTGGCGCTTAAGGTTGTAGCTGCATTATGTTTTCTAATATTTCGCTTTAAATTGCTACAGATTAATTCTATGGGGTTCAAAATACAATGGTAAGGTGGTAATCGTAGAACTATATGTCCCGCTTCTTTTGCCATGCCATCAATTACATATTCGGTTATAATGTCAACTTCATTGACTTTCGCTAACAGCTTATCTTTGGTAATCTTACCGTCCGGCATGGCAATATTATGTTCTTGCATGTAGGATAAAATATATTCTTTTTTATGCCTCTTTGCAGGTTTGGGGTGTAACATTCGAGAATGATAACTTGTGTTGTCAAGAACGATTACCGACCTCTGATTTAATACATTTGCAGCATTAAATGACATTTGTCACCTCGTTTAAGTCCCTAATCTCTTCTAGAGAACGATTTGTATTAAGCCCATATTATGGCTAACTTTCGTAATTTATTACTGTTAGAGTCATGATTATTTTAGAATACTAAATATGTCATTCTGTAGAGTAATATGTGTACTTCAAGCGTACGTATTTACTTTTTTATAAATATGTAGCATTAAGTCGTGAATGTACAGTCGTGATCTTGGGAAATGCACACTCAAGGTCAAGCGCTGTTGTGAGATCCGACATGCCGCTGGCTAAACGGGATGAGCCGAGCGCATATGAAGCTCTTGACTCGTGGGCGCTCGGCTCAGCCCTTTAAATAATAATTCCCCAAATGTATGCTTATAAGTTGAGAGTCACCCTGTATACCACTTCTATAATTCCCTTATAATCATTGCAATATTTTCTATCCCCTTTCTTGTGGA